GGAAAAATCCGTGCCTCCCAAAGTGAGTCACCAGCTTGGCTTCAGATTGCTCCCTAGCATCAACTCATGTCAGAAGGTCGAGCAAGGCTAACGCATCTTAAGCAAGTGTGCTCCAAGACTTTTAGGACTGGTCCACTTGTCCTTTAAGTAGAAAAGCTGAAACTCTTGTCATTTGTGCTTGAGGTCTGCCACCTGAGAGAAACTTGCCCTCAGCTCAGCAAATCCCAGGAAGGAGCTGGCTGGCCAGGCTTGAGTCTTGTGCTACCCAATTCCCACGATCAGGGCATGAGCTGTACTGACTGGTCCAGCTCGGGAAGAGACAGGGAGAAGAGCACAGTCATGAAATCATTGGGAGATGAACTTTGATGGTGTGGGAACTTTGTGGAAGACTTCTGGATTTCTGGCACAAGCAATTGGATGATGGAGACACTCAATCAGAAGGGGCGTGCTGGTTTAGTTCTGGACATTTGAATTACAGCTATGTGTGAGGGGATACAGTTGAGAAGTCATGCAGGCAGCTGGGCATATGAGTCTGGAGGACAGGAGAAGGGGCTTGGAAGCCTTCTTTGGGTGTCTCTGTCACAGAGTGGATAAAGGAAGCCACATGACATCTGTGGGATCACCTAAAACCAAAATGCTGGGTAGAGAATAAGGGGAAGCTGGGAAGGCTGAGGAGTGGTCAGAGAGGGACGAGGAAACCCAGGAGAGTGTAGTAGCGGGAGGTTAAGGTGGAGGAGTGTTGGAAGTGCAGTCGAGTGGGTTAGAAGTTGCTAAGATTGGATGGAGGGTATAGCTCAGTAGTAAAGTGTGTGCTTAGCATGCAAGAGGTCCTGGGTTCAATCCCCAGTACCTCCATTAAAGAAAATAATAATAAAACTCAAACCCTTAAAAAGAAAGAAGTCTGTACCTGCTAAGAGGTATAATAAGATAAAAGGAGAAAATGAGTATGACTGTTCCTTTACGGGACAAAATTTTAAACTTCTGATTCTGGGATAAAAGATATGTGACAAGTAGCAAATATACAAACTGATTCTTATGCCTGTCAGACATTGGACTAAAATCAGTACAAAGAATACTTGCCAAGGCAAGGAGAAGCCCAATAAATTGTAAATGAGCACCTAATTTCTAAAACGAATCCAAAATAATTATCATCTAAAAAAAAATGTATGTCTGAAAAAAATATACTTGTGAAAATCGTCAAGAAAACATCAAAACAGGGTAACAGGGGAAGACTTCAGACAGTGCTGGGAGGGTGTGAAGAAAAGGACCCTCCTGCTCGCTGGAATCAAGGCAGTGCCACATTTCTGTAGGTCTGCTGACAACATGCATAAAAAGCCTTCAACAATAAATGCACCAACAGTTCCGGGATTTTATCTTGAGGAAATAACTAGGGATGTGCACAGAGGTTTAGCTACAAGTCATTTCACAAAAGTGAAAAGTTGGGAACAACCCAAATGTACAAAGACAGGGCTGATAAATTACGGTACATTTGTACAATGGGAGACTAGGCAGTCATTAAAAATGTCATAGAAGAATTTTTTTGACATGGAAAAATGTTTGCAATATATTAAGCAATAAAAGCTAATTATAATGATCTCAAATTTGCATATATATATATATATAAACAGAACAAATCTGAAAGGATAGATTGTTTCTGGCTGCTGGCTTTACTGATGGTTTTTATTTTTTCTTTTTCTTTATTTGTGATTTACTATTTTTCTGTAATGAATACATAATTCTTTTACAATAATTTAAAAACCTGGTAATTATGTGAAGATGAAAGGAGAAAAGAGGTCACTAGAATTGAACTCTAACTGATTAATAAATAAGCAAATCATAAAGTGCTACCATTTATCTCGAATTAACTAGAGTTCGTTTTCCTGCCATCAGAGGAAATGAAGCCTAAAATAGAAATTGCCTTGAGATACAGAAAATGAAGTTACAATTCAGGCATAATTGTCTTTGAACTGTGAGATCTGTACCTGCTACACATGTGTATGCGTGTGTAGGGAAAATATTTGAAAGGATATCTACTAAATTTAAAAGTGATTCTCTTCAGCAGGGAGGGACTAGTGGAGGTGGGAAGATAACTTTTTCTTTATACAACTCTGTATTGTTTGACTTGTTGTAACATGCATGCAAACACTCTACACTTAAAAAGCAAAAGTGGTTATAATTTTGGAAGTATTTAGAAACATCATAGTATCCATGGTACGATGACAAAATATCAATGCAAAATATGTATACTAGGCTTATCACCATGTTGATGTATCTGCAGGTGAGAGAGGCTTGGATAAAAATACTCCATCATAAAAAGAGCTGTTCAAGTTCATTCATTCATTCATTCATTTATTCCACAAATGTCTGCTGAGCACCTGCTTTACTAGGCACCATGACCCTCTTCCAGCTACTTGGGATACAGCAAGGAATTAAACAGCCAAATACGCCTCCCCTCATGGAGCTGACATTCTAGCAGGGAGAGACAGGCAGTAAGTAGTAAGCATAATAAACATGTTGGGAATTGATAAGTGAGTGCTATTGAAAAAAACGGTGCAGGGTAAGCGAGGCTGGCAGTGCTGTGTGTGAGGGGCAGAGTTAAATAGGTTGGTAAGGGAAGGACTCATGAGAAAGTGACATGTGAAAAAAGATTTGAAAGAGGAGAGGGAGTAATGAAAATATTCAGAAAAAGAGATAAGGAGAGAGAACAGCAAGTGCAAAGGCCCTTAGGTGGGTTCAAGGACCACCAACGATGGCAGTGTGGCTGAGACACAGTGAGCAAAGGGAGATCAAGTCAGGGCCACCCAAGCCAGTTGGTGTTGGGTTCTGAGGCTACTGTAAGGACTCTGGCTTGTTATACCAAATGAACTGGGGAACCACTGTGGGGTTCTGAGCAGAGAAATACCAGGATCTCTCTGGCTGTCATGTGAAGACTAGGCTACTGGAGTAGGAGGGTGAGGGCAGAGAGACCTGGTTGTCCAAAGAGGGATGAAGGTGGCTGTGAGAATACCAGAGTGTCAAATCCTAAGTATGAAGATAGAGCCAAAAGGATTTCCAGACATTGCATAGAGGATGTGAGACAGAAGGATGAGGATGGCTCTTGGCATTCTGGCCTGAGTAAATGAAGTGGAGCTGCCATTAATTCAAATGAGTAACAGTGGAGTAGGTTTGGGGTTGGGAAAAGATCAGGAACTTATTTGTGGGCCTGTAATATCTGAGCAGCAATATAAATTTTGTTTTAAGAATGTTTCTAATATTATGATGACATCTTTCCAAATAAAAGCATCATTTCAAGACTCCTGACCCAGCAACTGTTATATTCCCAGTACTGAAAATGTGCATGTTGGTCATTGCTCATAATCTGGAGAAATCATGTGGATAGAAGGTATGCTAAAAGACTGGAGCCTAGGTTCACTTTCGAAATGGGGGAAAAAACACAGGCTGCAAATACGTCCATAATCCTGGCAAGATTCTAGGACATGTCATTAAATGGATGACATATGAACTTCAAACATTAGTAGTAGCTCCTCTTGGATTTAGCCTTAAGTCAAGAGCATGTCAGATCAATGCACGTACTGGAAAAACCCAGCATTTCATCCTGTGCGTCTTCTTTACTACTTATACAGAACACTCCACTTCTGACACCAAATGTGTGGGGGTTTTCTCCCACCAAGCAGTTCTCTGTGACACCAGCTAGTGACACGATTTAACTCATTTCTGACACTACTTGGAGACAGCATCAGATCCCACAGGTCAGGGACTCAGTATCATGAGACTGACTCCACTTCAGATGCCAAGTGCAAGTAGTCAGTCCTCAAGTTACCCACAACTTCAGTTCTACTTGGCTAAAGATGGGAGGTTCTTATGACCCCCCTCTCCCTTGGATTTGATTATTTGCTAGAACAGCTCACAGAACTCAGGGACACATATGTTTGTTGGTTTATTAAAGGATACAGGTGAACACCAGATGAAGAGATACAGAGAGCAATGTTTGGGAGGGTCCTGAGCACAGGAGCTTCTGCCCTCCTGGATTTGGGGTGTGGTACCCTTCTCATATGTGGATGGATTCACCAACCTGGAAGCTCTCCGAATCCCATACTATTGGGATTTATATGGATGCTTCATCACCTAGGCATGGTCTCTCATTAACTCCATTTTCAACCCTTCTTTCATCTCAAGAAGATGGAGACTAGGGGAGTGTTAAAAAATTTCAAGCTTCTAATCATATTTTGGTCTTTCCAATGACCAGCCCCCACCCAGGAGCTGTCCACAGCCCAGGTAAAGTTGCTTCATTAGAACAAATGACACTTCTATCACCCAGGAGATTTCAGGGGTTTCAGGAGCCCTGTGTCAGGAACTGTGGTCAAAGACCAAATATTAGAACAAAAGCTGCTCCTAGCCTGCTCTTATTACTCAGGAGATTCCGAGGATTTTAGGAGCTCTGTGTCAGAAACCAGACAAAGACCCAATACATATATTTCTTCTTATAAATCACAGTATCACAGATGATACGCCAGAACACTGGAGCCTAGGCAGCAGCGTTCAATAAGGATGCAAAACCATCCATTGTCCTCGCAAAGTTCTAGAACATTTCATTAAGTGGAGGACATACGAACTCCAAAAATTAGTAGCAGCTCCTCTTGGATTTAGCTTTAAGTCAAGAGCAAGTCAGTCCGATATATTAAGAAAAAAGCAACCAGGTCAATTTTGGAACTTGGAAGTCCAATGTTTGAAGGGGTGGTGAAGTTTTTTTTGTTTTTGTTTCTATTGGAGACGAGTCTCAGGTGGCAGGCGATATTAACAGCATACGGTAGGGTAGGGTTACAGACTAGGAAGTTTGTGTCAAGTCTTTACTACTTTCTAGCCACATAACCTTGGGCAGAGCGCTCTGCTGCTCGTGGAACCGTGGTCCCAACCTGTAGGTAGTAATACTTGCAAGGTGCTTCGCACAATGCATGTACAACGGAGAGCTGACCTGCGGGCGCGGGGGGAGGGGGACTTACTTTTTGATTATTCTCATCGTTTTCTTTTTTCAGACCCAAGAAAGGTCCTGCCTCCATGAGAGATGCAGCGAGAAAAAGTAAGCGATGAATAAAACAGCTTTCCTCTAGTACTGCTACAGCGCTGTCAGCACAGGAACGGTGAATACAGGTCTTGAAACTTCCAGAATTGCTTCTCGCCAGGAGAACCAGCATGGGGAGAGGGGAGCAGCCTGGGTTTGTTCCAGAACCCAGAAAAAGCCAGCGGTTGCTAGGCGACCGTAGGACGGAGGGGAAGGGGCGAGACTGCCCCTTGCAGGCTCCGCCCCCACTTCCGCGCTCCTCGCTCCGCCCCCTTCCAGTCCAAGTCCCGCCAGGCCAGGCAGTCCAAGCATCAACCCTTGCGACCGGGCCGAGGCGTCGCGACGCATGCTCAGTTCTTCCCGCGCGGCTCTTCGTGACGCGAGCTCCCGCTCTCCGCCACACACTCTGCCCCGCCCCTTCTTGCTCGGCAGTTCCTCTCGCTCCCAGCTCCGTTCTCGCCCACACCCGTCCTGCCCACACCTCGTCTCCAGTCCTGTGCATAGTGACTGTAGAGCGACCTCAAGTCCTGCAGACCCACGTTCCGTGCTCCCGTGGTGGCGGTGGTGATGGGCGGGGGGAGTGGGCTAGAAGAATAAGGCGGGATGAGGGGAGGTGGCAGTTGCCGCGGACTCACTTCCGGAGGACGGGCGGAAGTGGCTGCGGTGGATGGTGGGAGGGGGAAAGGAGCGCGAGGGGAGGGCCGGGCCGCTGGGGGTCGAGGGGGTGGGGCCTGGGCCGGCAGTGGGGACCTGGACTAGGGCCTGGATTCCGATCTGGGGCGGGCCGCGGCTCCCTGCCGAGGTTGGGGGGGGCGGGACCCAGGTAAAGACCCAGCGCAGTTAGGGCGAGGGTCGTCCGGCGGTGGAGGGGTGGGTGACAGAGTCTAGAGAGGATCGCGTTGTCACCCTCTTCCCGGGTGAACACCGAGCTCGGGATTCCGAGGAGGGTGGGAGGAGTTAAATTCTTGGCTGGGTTGGGGGCCGTTCTTGTGGACGCCACGCCCCTACAGGAAGGAAGGGCGCGTGCGTGTGTGCGTGCGTGCGTGTGTGTATGTGTGTGTGTGTGTGTGTGTGTGTGTGTGTGTGTGTGTGTGTATGTGTATGTGTGTGGTGTTTGAGAATAAACTTAGAAGGGAGGGAGCGGCCAGGGTGGGCTACCGGATTGCAAAATTGGAACATCACTGGGACTATTGCTGGTAGGACTCGGGCCTCTAACATTCCAGGAGAGTGCTCTCGGGAGTGGCCCCGGGAAGGAGTTTGACGGAGGTTGGGAATTACATCCTTGGCACAGTTTTGGAAGCAGAGGGGGAGGTGAGGGTGAAGGGAAGGGAGCAAAGAATGCTTGTGGAAGGCGCCAGCATCTAGGTCTGGAATGGATTTAGTTCAGTCAGGGAGAGCTGGCCGATTAAAACACTGCACACCCTAAGAAGCTTGGGAGATGTAGGGCGATTAGTGCGTGGTACTAACAAGACACTAGAACAGGAGAATGTTCTTTTCTCTGTTTCTTAAAAGACAATCTCCACACACTAGTGGTTTTGGTTACTTCTCTACAGTGCGAATAGGTGCTATCTTTACTTTATCCTAAGCCTTCATGTGCGTACATATTGATGAAGTGACTGTTTTGGGGTGCAGTATGTGAGTGAGGTAGGTACTTTGTATAATCTTGTGGAGTGTTTAAGGAAGGGTCTTTGATGATTGAGTAAAGGAATGTAATTTAGGTAGGGAATCTTAGGAATCCCTTTGGGTATATAATAGATTAGAGAGTGTCATGATGTTTAAATATTCTGCAGGTTAACACAGAAATCAGCTTCCTGGGCCATGCTGTTTCTAAGGCCTGTTTCTTCTCATGAGCCCCAGCAGAAGACGGACTGGCCAGCCCTCACAGTGGATGCCTTCCCCTCTCTGAACAAAAGATGGGATAGTACCTGGGATCTGCCTATCACCAGACTCTGGGCTTAATAAACCAGCTGAATGAAGGAATGTAACAGACCCCTGGGAGGGACACTGAAGCCTGCAGTGGGGGGGGAGGGGCCTGGACATACCCCTTCCCCCCCAGACTCCTCCCCCACAGTTCACTCAGCCATGGACTTTGGACCTGGATAAGAGGAGAGAAGCTACAATTTGGTGTATCTGATTTGGGATTCTCAGTTTTGGAAATGGAGTGCTGGATGGGGGTTTGATGATCTTCAGGGGAGCAGCTGAGAGAAGAGAAGAAAGGTAAGGTTCCTGTCTCATTTCCCACTTGATGTCTTGCTGCTCCCATGCAGAAAGTGTTGAGTAGGGTAAGTCCCCTGGGGATGCAGCCATTCAGGAAGTGCCCTGATGAGAACCTGGAACCTGATGGGTCACAGGAAGCTTCACTTCCCCTTCACTCTCTAGGGGTGCAGGCTTGTTCCTAACCTCTCCTTACCCAGGCAGGAGGAGTACCTTGTAAGAGGTTGTGGGCAATGGCAGTTGTAGAGTAGGCCAAGGAGAGCATGAAAATAATTCAGGCTTCAGAAGGGAGATTGAATCAGATTACCTGTAAGGGCCTTTTCAACACTGAGATAATAGGATTCCAAGTCAGTCTGGGCTAAGTACAACCCTGGAATGGATTATCCAGGCAGAGGCAGGCTGCTGTGTTTTGGGGCGCTAACTGAATAGAACCTCCTTGGGGGGACTGGCAGGTGGGAGATGGTCCAGAGAACTTACTAAATTGTCTCTCCTCCTTCCCCAATAAGAACGTGTAGGCTGTGAAACCTCATGGAAAGAGCAGAGGAACAGAACACGGGTTTGGGAATCAGGATTCGTGTTCTCTTCACTTGCAAAATGAGGATAACGAACTTTGCAAGCCGCCAACAGGTTGTTAACAAGGAGCAAATGAAATGGTAGATTTGGAGAAGTATCCAGGGCCGTGTACTCGTACAACAGCGACACTGATGTTGCTTGATATGCTTGTATAGACAGTACATAGAGGAAAAACCCTGAATTAGGAGTTCTGCTCTTTTATTGAATTAGTGTTCTTTCAGAAGCCTTATTTGTCCTTAATTAAAATCCTTCCCTGAATCTGTCTCATCCTTTTGCTGATACACAATACCTGGGGTCATGAAGTGGTGGCAAAGTTGCACGGGTTCAAGGAGATCTGAGGTTGAGGGCTCCTGCCAGAT